ACAATAATCATCACATTATTTTGCACCCCCCCCCCCCCCCCATCGAGGGAGATTGGTACGCATGAGGACGCACAAGGAGAGAAACACACATGGATGTTTTCATTCATGTTCTTAACTCTTTAAATCACAGAGTATGTATTTAGTAAATAAAGCAATGCCCATATTTGTTAACCTGAACAAACCTAGATATACTACATTGTACATTGTCTGTAAATCTAAATGCGCTTATCATTAACTGCGCAAAACTTGTAATGCGATAAACCTAGCCTAACTACGTCTGTAAGTACGTCAGAACCTGTATTGTGATTAACTTATATATCTACATCAGTGATTGGCTTAACTATGCTTATATATCCGCACTGATCTTGTAGATATGTATATCAAACTTAGTTAGAATAGACTCCGCTTTGATTACAATGTGAGAGTAATTACTTCTTGGTTAGCTAACGAGAAGCGTCCTGAATCACTCCCTGGAAATATAAAACTAAATTGGGAATTGATATCTTCTATAGTATTTTGTAAGACAGATAGTTTACGAGCTTGTGTCCATGTTTGACATTGAGAGCTGAGGATATCCTACCCGTGTTTGGCATTGATAGTTTACAAGCTTGTGTCCATGTTTGACATTGAGAGCTGAGGATATCGTGCCCGTGTTTGGCATTGATTGTTTACGAGCTTGTGTCCATGTTTGACATTGAGAGCTGAGGATATCCTACCCGTGTTTGGCATTGATAGTTTACAAGCTTGTGTCCATGTTTGACATTGAGAGCTGAGGATATCGTGCCCGTGTTTGGCATTGATTGTTTACGAGCTTGTGTCCATGTTTGACATTGAGAGCTGAGGAGATCGTGCCCGTGTTTGGCATTGGTAGTTTACAAGCTTGTGTCTGTGTTGAAAATGATAGCTGACAAGATCATATCTGTGTTTGGCATTAATATTTTATGAGCATCTGTCTGTGTTGATATTGATAGCTGACGAGGTTGTGTCCGTGTTTGGCATCGATAGTTTATGAGGTTGTGTCTGTGTTGACATTGATAGCTGACCAGATCTTGCCAGTGTTTGGCATTGATAGTTTACAGGCATCTGTCTGTGTTGATATTGATAGCTGACGAGATTGTGCCCATGTTTGGCATTGATAGTTTACGGGCATTTGTCTGTGTTGACATTGATAGCTGACGAGATTGTGCCCATGTTTGGCATTGATAGTTTATGAGGTTGTGTCTGTGTTGACATTGATAGCTGACCAGATCTTGCCAGTGTTTGGCATTGATAGTTTACGGGCATTTGTCTGTGTTGATATTGATAGCTGACGAGATTGTGCCCATGTTTGGCATTGATAGTTTACGAGGTTGTGTCTGTGTTGACA